ATGTGAGTCACTGAATCATTCATTCAACAGATTTGTTCAAAATGCTAATTAATTTAGGAATTAATCAAGCGATTGTCATTACGAGTCAGGTACTGAATCATTCACTCAATTGATTTGTTCAATAACACAGATTCATTCTGGAAAGAACTAAATGACTGCCTTTATGAGTGAGTCATTGAATCATTCATTCCACAGATTTGTCACTGATTCACTCAATCGATTTGTTCAGTAACACAGATTCATTCTGGAAAGAACTAAATGACTGCCTTTATGAGTGAGTCATTGAATCATTAATTCAACCGATTTGTCACTGATTCCCTCAATCGATTTGTTCAGTAACACAGATTCATTCTGGAAAGAACTAAATGAGTATCTTTATGAGTGAGTCATTGAATCATTCATTCCACAGATTTGTTTAAAACACTGATTCCATCAGGAACAAATCAAGTGATTGCCTTTATGAGTCAGTCATTGAATTATTAACTCAATCAATTCATTCTGGAAAGAACTAAATGAGTATCTTTATGAGTGAGTTATTGAATCATTCATTCCACAGATTTGTCACTGATTCACTCAATCGATTTGTTCAGTAACACAGATTCATTCTGGAAAGAACTAAATGAGTATCTTTATGAGTGAGTCATTGAATCATTCATTCCACAGATTTGTTTAAAACACTGATTCCATCAGGAACAAATCAAGTGATTGCCTTTATGAGTCAGTCATTGAATTATTCACTCAATCAATTAATTCTGGAAAGAACTAAATGAATATTTTTTAAGAGTGAGTCACTGAATTCATTCAGCGTATTTGCTCAAAAAACTGATTCAGGAAGGAAAGGCCGTACTGAGTGTCACATTGGCTTCATTTTGGAAAATTATTTTAAAACAAAGATTACTGGAGTTCATTTTACAAGAAATCAGTATCTTCTAGTAGTCATTCTAATTCAAAATTTAACTTTATTACCAAACAAGTTAAAATCATCATAATAGTAATTAGTAATTAATTAATTCAAATTGCCATTAAAATAATCACAAATAATGCTGAATGAATGCACAATAATGCTTTACACAAGACTAGTTCAAGATAACCTCAAAAACCAACTCATATTTTCATCATTAATCTATGCATGCAAATCACCTCCCCTCTCTCAAATCCTTAATTTATTTATCTTTTCATTTTTAATATCTCTTGGTGGTTTCAAACATTTGGCCTGATCTAATGCATGACCTACAAACCACAAGAGTGTTCATTATCTCACTGACCAGCAAAACAATTGTGTAAATTAGTGAAAGTGGATAAAAAATCCAAACTTTAACGACACTCCAACGAGCCACAGGAGGAGATTTAGCCTGTGCTAATTGGTGAGCATGTGGTTGATTCATTAAAGAACTACCTAAGATGCTGATGCAACCATGTGGAATTCATTTCTTCTCCCTTAATCCAATGTAATCTTATTTAGCACTGAATGTGTCAATTATCTGTAAGAGCAATGAAATGATGATGCCAGCAATAGCGCAGCACTTACAGACAGCGAGAGAGAAGCTGATGTTTATTCAGAGCGCCACATGCCTTCACAATAAAGAGAAAACTTAATGACTGCTTGAATTATGGCTGCAGGATGGTAAATACATCAGTGAAATTATTAAGGTTAACAGGGTCTGTAAATGATCTGTAAGAAATACATACATACATGCATGCACACACACACACTGTATATAATATATATAACAAATTAAATAAAATTAAATATATTTTTTATTAGGAATTAATACTTTTATTAATCAAGGATGCATTAAACTGATCAAAAGTAAAGACATTTCTAATGTTACAAAAGATTTCTATTTCAAATAAATGCTGTTCTTTTGAACTTTCTATTCATCTGTGAATCCTGAAAAATAAAATGCATCACAGTTTCCACAAAAATATTGTGCAGCACAACTGTTTTCAACATTGATAATAATCAGAAATGTTTCTTGAGCAGCAAATCAGCATATTAGAATGATTTCTGAAGATCATGTGACACTGAAGACTGGCGTAATGATGCTGAAAATACAGCTTTGATCACAGAAATAAATTATATTTTAACAGATATTCACATAGAAAACAGCTGTTTTACATTGTAATAATATTTCACAATTTTTACTGTATTTTTGATCAAATAAATGCAGCCTTGGTGAGCAGAAGATACTTCTTTCAAAAACATTCAAAAATCTTAGCAACCTCAAACTTTTGAACAGTACTGCATACATGCATTTAATCAGGTTTATGCATATATACTTTTTTATTAAATATTTCCAATAGAATAAGAAAAATTCAAATTGAAAACATTTTTAATGGTATTTTACCTGAAAACAAGACAAAAATACTGCTGATTTTTTTTGCGGTGTGCCATGAAGGCTTTGGCTTTCTGTGTCTCAGGCTTTTGTTCCTGGTTCGTCACAGTGATTAGCATGAATTTAGCTAATTAACCTGAGCAGCAGAGTTGAGGCTTGAGTGCTTCTGTGCAAATGAACAGGTGCTAAGTTACACAGACACACACACACACACACACATACACACTCATGAAGTCCCTTATGGTTATGAGTCCAGACAAAAGCTTCTTGAGATGCAAATGTATGTAGGCGTGAGTCACAACCTTTGGTCTGAGGAACAGCACATGTGAACGTGTGATATTTGTTTGTTTGTACACGTTTATGTGTGTGTGTGTGTGTGTGTGTGTGTGTGACAGAGAGAGAGAGAGAGAGAGAGAGAGAGAGAGATACATGTGTGTGGGAGTGTAAGGGGGTTGTGTGTTTACATGTTCACATATTAATAAACATCTTTAAAAGCCCAGGGTGATATATGTTCTCGCCGCAGATAATGGTTATAAATGCTGCAATACTTCATGATGTATTAATAACTGGGTCCGCAGCTGTAAACCTGCAGGACAGATGGCCTCAATACCTCTCTTTGATGCTCAAGTCATTAAACTCACATCTCATTTCCAAATCATTAGCCCAAAACTTTCTGTCCCCTTATTCTCCCTCTCCTAAAATCACCGCTCAGCTGAGAGAGTCCATGTGTTTTGATCAGCGTGTAACAAACACACATACACTACACAGATGCACAACAAACTTGTAGTTGAAAGCGTGATTAAAGTCTGATGCTTTCTTTCATATCTGGCAGAGTTTGAGCAGACTAAATGATTGAAAATGTTTTGCCTAAAAATTACAAGGTTAAAAATGAAATATGCAGCATAGATGAATTGCACATAATAAGATCAATATGCATTTAGAATACAGATTGACCCAAAATAGAGAAGCAGACTTTATGGCACAGCTCTCTATATAAAGTAGGATATACAGTATACGTATGTCCACTTTATCCATATACATACAGTACACTCATATAAAGTGATATATACTACATAGCAAATCTCAACTGCTTGATTCTTTATATTAACACAAATTGTAAGTTAGTCTATATTATTGTCCAGCTCTAAATGCATCTATATTGCATGAGGATTTTAATATGTTATAAACATTAACATCAAGAATTTCTGTAAAGCTGCTTTGAAACAATGTGTATTTATGGAAGTTTGTTTCTGCCACGGGACAAAAATAAAGGTTATTGCGAGTTCATAGCTCACAATTTGAGCTTTTTTTCTCAGAATTGCAAGATATAAACTCAGAATTGTATGATTTTAACAAAGAACTGTGAAATATAAATTAGCAGTTCTAAGTAGAAAAGTCCAAATTGTGAGATATTAACTCACAGTTGCGAAATAAATTAGAATTGTGAAATAAATTAGCAATTACAGAACAAAAAAACTTGAATTGCAAGAAATTCTGAGTTGATATCTTGCAAATTGTAAAAAAATAAAAATAAAATATGAGATAAAAAGTCACAACCTTTTTTATTTTATTTTCTTCTATAGTGTATTGTGAAAAGTGCTATACAAATAAATTTGACTTGGCTTTAAAGTAAACACGCAATGCCATTCACAACCATAATCTGATGTATTTTTAAGGTAAAACATGATATTCAATGAAAAAATGTAGGGCAGTGCTGCATCAACATGGATTGATGAATCATCAACAATAAGGCCAGGAATGTGCATTAAAAGTAAACAGGCTCACTTCTTAATTCATGCTGACTTTAAAACTAAAAAATAACTCTCAAAGGAAGCAAGTTATGGCTGAAACGTGCATTGATTTTATCAAGACTTTATCATGAAGACAGGAGTTTCATTGGACTTTTGAAATAAGTTCAAGAAACAATGTAAAAAACAAACAGTGTGTCTAGTCGGATCTGATTCACAAACAAATGACTCTTATGAGTCAGTTCTGACTGTATAAGTGAATCAAAAACATCCAGCGTGACCAGTGGAGCCCGATTCACTAAACAAATGATTCTTATGAACCAATTTTTTTAATGTCATTCAAAAAGATGAGTTACTGATTTGAATCAGTTCGAAACACAGCCCTATATAATAAACAGCATTAGTTAAGAAAGAATGATTTACATCTGTACGAAAAATTGGAATTATAACAGAAAAATACACAAACGAATCAGAATCAAATCAAATCAAATGTGAATTAGAATCAAATGAAATCGGTCAAATCTGTATTGATTCTCTTATTTCAAAATGATGTTTCAAAGAAGCTGCTGCAAAGATTATATTGCACTCCAGCAACCCATAATTATGCATTTCTCATGCATCATTAGAGAAAATATGCCAGTAATTACAGGATATTTATGTATAGTCTTAAAGTTAAAATGGAAATGGAAAATGGGTATGAAAAACTAAATTACGCCTGATTTTGGGGCAAGAAACCTTGACTTATAGTCCTCAGGGAGACATTAAAATGCAACAAACATGCAGGAAAATTGCTCTTTAAGATAAACGAATGCACTCTAAAGACAATAAAAGAGGACTGCCTTATTACAAAGAAACTCTTAAAATTAGATTACGATATCAAATGGGGTACTGACCCCTAAATGCACACGAGTCTTACCTGTATGTTGTCAAAAGACGCTTTATTTGTCACATCGTACAGCAGCAAAAGAGCTGAAAAAAGAGACAAGACATTAATCACATATATGGAAGACGGAAAAACTCTACATCATCTCAGACATCGGTTGTTTCTAAACACAACAAGTCCTTTTGCACTCTGTAAAATCTTTTATTACTACAAGAGAGAGGAGTATAAAGTTAGTGGATGAGTCCTCTGGCTTTACAAGCATGTAATTTAAAGCACTCCAGCCGCCGACGCTTTCACCGTGTGATGTATTTATGGATTCAGTCCTTTATTTGGGGTTTGGGGGAGATGAAGGTCCGTGAAGGGCAAACATTAAAGGATAATTAGCATCTCTGGTACGAGGGAAGTGGCACAGACGGAGGAACAAACAACGTCTGGCTGTGCATACTGTCTCTCTCTCACACACACACACACACACACACAATCGCGCACACACGCACTCACACAC